AAATGAGGAATTCAACATTCAACACTTTCATAATCAATAATTCTATTTCCTTATTCGTTCATTTTTATTAAAAATATTTGGATAATGTATTGTATTATGTAAGAAAAAGTTTTATGTATCCTGTTCCAGATCTGTATGTTATTATAACGAACATCAATGTCACTATTTCTACATATGTATTTGTATGTATAATGTGTGTACATACAGAATATTTAGCAAAAGAACAAAAGTTTATTCATTTGTGATCAGTTATAAGTTACGATATTGAAAATGATAGAAAACTGCTTGTTTCTATGAAAAAGTTAAGGATACTCTGCCTTATTAACACTAGAATCACTGAATCTTAATATAGCCTTCAGTATAGAAGATGATCAAAAAACTTCTCATAGAAACGTTTCTATAATTTCAATAGCTATGAAAGAAAAAAATCAGTAACCAGCAATTTTGAGTTGTTGCAGTATTAAAAATAACATGATGCATTGTTTTATTTTATACGCAGTATGATCGCTTACGTCAAAATGAGTTCACCGATCTGCAGTACCGTAATCTGTCACCATTCAAAAATATTGAGTTCAGTAAAAGTGATGTACAGATCCTCGACACTTCAGGCTTGGATCAGTTTGAAAATAATTGCACCGGATTGAGCGAATTACTGAGAATATGTTATACTTCAGGATCCCGAAAATAATTTGCTATACGAATATGATCGATATCCCAAAATTGTGAATTCACTTGTACGATTAGACCGTGGACCTTTGTGCAAAATAAAAATTTTGCAAGACGATTGTAAGAAACAGAAATATTAAATACAATTAAATTGTTTGTTTTAAATATTTTGTCAAGATGCAAATAGTGCAACAGTATTATTTAAATTGTTCTTATATCTTCGCATGCATAAAATCCGCAATCTAATTATAATTCATTAAGTATACATGGTCGAATTTTCGTAATCATGTTGCATGACAGTTAGGTCGGGATTCTGTATCTTAAACTAAATGAATTTCACTAATCTGGAACGTTTCGATATTGGAGACTTAGTAAACGTTAGAATCGTGAATTTATATTATAGTTATATTTATATTATAGGCCTTATTATAGGTTGAAATTTCCTTTGCCAAATCAAAATCAAGATATTGATACATTCGACGAGATTACCATCGTTTGCTCTTCACATTTAGAACTCTCTCTCAAAAATGATCGAAACATTAACCTGGATTACGGGGAAAAATAATTATACGGATCGATGCGTTTCGGTGCTTGCTACTGGTCTTGACTTTATGTTAATGTTTTATCCTACTCTTGCGGTAGCGAGTATCAGAAAAGAAAAGAAACATTTGGAAGCGTGATACGCTCTATATAAGTATGCAGACGTACAGTCTACAGTTACACATATTTGCTGAACAGAGTGGAACACGGTGTTACAAAATTATATACATCTATTATACATATCGTGATTTTACATCCTTGGTTTGGAAGATATTAGCATAAGTAACATTCCGTAAAATTGATCTTAACTTTGAAAATTCAAGAGTCAAAAATCGAAAATTTTTTTTATTTTTATCAGCCTAATGTCTGACTCTTTGACATTCTGTACCAGAAATGAAATTATATGTATTCGATTGTCACAAAAGTTCTTTTCTTAACATGCGTGTTC